GCGCCGCGCTGAAGCTCCACGCCGTGAAGAAGAAGCCTGCCGCGCCACACCACCGCCACGAGATCGACAGAGACTCCAAGCTTTCTCCCTTGCCGCCCGTGGAGCTCTCTGCGCCGCGATGCGCCATCCTCCCGCGCCGTGTTGCAGCGCCGCGCCGCGGTAGATCCAGGTCCCACGCCGTGAAGACTCCTCGCGCCCGGGAGCCCCGACTGTTTATAAAGAAGAAATCGCGACTTCGTCTGGATATTCTTTTTTCACGCACAGAATTTAAAAAAACCTTATTATCTTTTCTTCTCTCTCGTTTTTACGTTTTCTTCCATCGTGAACAAGGATTTGAACTTGGATTTCGCTATTTCTGTCGGATTAATCTTGTTTATCGAATTCATCATTCAATTCCAGTATTCGTAAGTTTTCTTATCCATGGATATGTTCACTTTGATTATGGTTATTTGTGTTGATTGTTCGATTATGAGTGGATAAATCTTCATACTAGGGATAGGGGATTGATGTTTTGATTTCGTTTGGGATTGTGGGTGTTCGTTGATTGTTCATCTTATGCGAGTTAATCTTTAATTAGGGTTTTGCAATTATTTAGCTTGAGTTTTGAGAATTGTTGAAGGGTGACACTTCAACTTGCAATTGTTTTGATGGAGTTCGATAAATTTGTGCTTGATGATCTTAAATCTTATCGGGCTAGCTGATTAATCACATTCTAGTCTAAGTTAATCGTCTCTTAGAACCGAAATGGGAGGAGTCGGTCGAACTAGGCTCGCATAAGCTAGGCTTGTTCGTAACTGTATTGCCTAAGAGTTAAATGACTTGTTAATATGCCGTTCTAGTTTATTCTCTTGTTACAAATAGTTATTGAGAATGAATACTTGAACGTGTCGGTTATTCAAATCACTTAACTGAACAATCACCTGCCCACTAATTGCATTTCTAACCAAAACAGATATCCCTGACTCCCTAGCTTCTCAAATCTTACTTGTTCTCGTTGTGCTTCGATATTTTTATTGCTTTACTTGATTTTTCGCAGTAGTTGATAATTAAACCAAAACCAATATTTTGATTTAGAATGTTTAGGAATTTTATTTTCCCTTTTTGTGTTTGAGTAATCATACAAAATAATCCGACTAACCTTCCTCGAGAGACACGACCCGGTGTTCGAATCTTTAGATTCTACTCCGGTAAAAATACTTACAACAATAATATATATTTATTTTTTTATGCATACAATATGGATGTTAAATCAGAGCTCATCAATATATGACTAATTTGATATATTATATATGTAAAATTGACAAAAAAAAAAAAGTAAATAACTTTTAAAATACGTTTACAATTCAATGATTATAATAAGAAATGATATTAATATGCAATTAATACATGTAACTTGACCATAAATAATTAACATATTTATGAATAATCCGAACCTAATTATTTTTAGATTGAAAATAAATTAAAATCTACCCAGCCTAATAACGAATTTTACCACATAGAATCTCAAAGCATGAGAGTCTGCCAATTAGGCTCAACACATTTTGAATTGATATATATGGAGAGATATTTAAATAAATTTGATTTAGTAAGAGAATTTTTTAATGATGTTGAAGTTTATATATATCATAAGTTTCTCTAATAAGTGTTCTAAAAAAATCATTGAAATTTTAATTTCACTTACACTACAAAAAAACTCTTACATTCCAACAGAAATTTTTCGTTGGAATTTTTTACATTTTCCGTTAGAATAGCTATTCTAACGGATATTCCTGCGTATAAAAATTTGTGGAAAAAACGGCCGTTGGAATAGCTAAAATCCAACGAAAAATCCTATGAAAATAAATTCCTACAACTATTCCAACGGAAAAAATCCGTTGGAATTCCTTAACCACACAACACTTATTCCAACATATAACTAAGTTTGTTGGAATATTCATTGAAATTTTCAACGAAAAATGTTTTCTTGTAGTGTTATTTATCAGCTCATTTTACTAAATGTTTTTAACCTTATACTAAAAGGGAAGATAACATAAGCTGGTGGCATAAATTAATTTTTCAGCTATTATCTATCATTTATAAGTTTAAAACATGCGAAACACGTATAAATGTGACTTGTGAGTGCATGAACATGGATTTTGTTATTTTTTTACTATTATTTTGTTGACTGGTTTTATTAATTAATTAATTAATTAATTAATTATTATTATTTTATTTATTTTTTTCTGAACGGCACCTCAAATGATCCTATTCAAAAGTTTGTCTCATTAATAAAATAAAATAAGCAGTGATAAATTCATTTTTTATTTTCCTTAAGTAGCAAGAAATCTTGAATTCGATAAAGTCAACGCTTACAATTAATGTATATAAACGAGTGGCGGAGATTCTTTGTTGACTCCCTGAACTCGATCATGTGGCTCAAGGACATCGCACGTACGCCATTACGCCACATAGGGCTTTGATTGTGTAATTTTAAAATGCATAACACTTTGAATTTTGTAACTAAAATTTCATAAAATTTCATTATACGACGTTGTAGAATTGGATATGCGATTTATGAATATGCGAATATATTACGCACAATCGTCAATTAGTTATACGATGCTATAGAATTTAATATATATGTGAGTCGTAAACTATATGAAAAAACATCGCATAATCATAAAATATGTGATTTTCGATTTAGATATACGGTATCTGAATATGCGATACTTTCACGAATATGTAATTTATACGGTGGATTTAGATATGCAATTACAAAATAAGCGAAAATAATTCGCATATATATTAACTATGCATCCATTTTGGATATGCGAATCGTAAACTATGTGACGATATTTTACAGAATCATAAAGATAGGATGATCAATTTG